GGTCCCTTCCAACCCCTAACATTCTATGAGTTAGTAGTACTGTCAGCTCTAGCTGGCTTGCCCAGAAGTTCTCAGATTTGTGCTGTCATCTTGGTGCCCATTTCAGCAGTCTTCATCTGCATTACATACAACCAGACAAAAGTACCATTTAATTCCAGGTTTATAGCAATTTTATTAAAATTCTAAACCTTCTGTTATTAAAATTAATAAATTTTTAAAATACAAGACAATTGCTTATACATATTTCTTCAGGGCAGGGCATTCTTGCGAGTTTGTGAAATAAAGATTCCAGAGATGATTTGTTCTTGCTTATTCAGATAAAAGTAAAGGAAAAAATATAAGAACTGTTTCAGGTTTGTCTACATGAGAAACTGAAATAACCACAGAATTTAATGGGTAGTATAAGTCTTCCCCTGTATAAGGGGGAATAGGGTTACATTCTTAGTCACACTGAATTGCTCCAGGTCACCCTTTGGTGAGAGTACCCATACATCATCATGGGCTGAGCTAATAGTGCAATACTGTGTACAACAGTAGAAGGCACAAGGGTCTTCTGAATATTGCACTGATCAGATGATAGTCTGAAACATGAGATTAGTATACTAATAGATAACATAGGTATGAGTAACCATTAAATTATACAGCACCTTCTCAAACATTGCACTCAATGCAGAACATTCTGACCTCCATCCAGATGGAGTTCTATACTCATCCAGATCTGCGGGAGTCTGTCTTCTTCCCTACAGTATGTGAAACTACCCTCCATTCACTCTTACATGCCATACTGGTCAGGACAGCAAAGATGAGATGTCCGCGTTCAGTTGAAAATAAATAGTAGCAAGTATTTCAGAAAACAAGCAGTGTAACAGAGTCCAGCTATAAAATGAAGAAGTGAGCAGAGGTTCAATCAATGTTGAACAGATTCTGGTGAGTTCGTGTTTGTTCAGAGATTTTACTGCCAGTTAATAAATATAAATTAAATGCAGATACTCAGGCTTTATTACCAGATTATGTTTCCATTTACTTCACCTTAGATGCTTGCCTAAAACAGGATTATCTGCGTTTGGTAGTACGTTTTTGGTCTATTTTCTTCATAGCAGTCTGCACCCATTTCTGATTTGGGCTCACACAGATCCTGATACCTTTTTTGGTGATAAACCTGTAGGAAGGAAGAAAGCAAACCATGTGGTTATTATATTCCAATCTCCAAACTCAAGTTGACTGTTCCTGGTTTTCATGAAGAGCATGAGGAACAATATATAAAACCATATCACATGTTGGAGTTTGTAGTTGTTAGTTGAAATAACAGCCGTTAGCAGCATCAGTTCCCCATTTATGGCATCGGCATCAATATGCATGTAACATCCATGGTCATGTGCGTGTGTACTGAAGAAAAGGAGCATGCCTGCTATTCTGACTGTTCCACCTTGACCTCTCACTGTGATTTTTCCTCACTCTCTGGGCACAAAAGATCCAGCTGCTCAGTGAGATTTCTGTCCGCGTGTGTGAGCAGCATACACCTCCCAGCGCTCTGAGGCTGACCCCTCTCCCTTCACTCCCTTGGCTGCCAGGTCACTGCTTCATGGGGTAACTGAAAAGGTGGCCTGAACAAGCCAGATTAGTGAGTTGGGCCATGATGATGCCTTTTCTCTTTTTGATGGTAGCGTGTTTGCATAGACAAGTCTGAAAGTGAACTGTGCACTAGATACTTACATGATGGCTTTGACTGGAGTTTGTTGTTTTTCATAGCTGATAAGGTTTCGGATATTCAGTTGTTGTGTAGACAGATCTACACAACTGATTTTGCGCATGGACTGACTTGAGGCACTCCCTAGAAGGGGGAAAAATAGATTAATGGCAAAGCAGTCAAACTGTATTCAGAGGCAGCCATTATTACTTAATAAACTATGAATTCCAGCAGGTTTCTTGTTGTGGTCAGAGCAAGAGTGTGTAATGATGTACAGCCACAATACCAGTCACACAACAGAGGTTAAGGTATTTTTTGTGATGCATCCTACTATCTCTAAGTGTTTTTGCTACCTTGGTTAAGATACTAACCTCCTTCACCTGTTCCCCTGAACAACTGTATACTTATTCTGCCTCTAGGGAGTCACTGCTTCCATAGCAGAAAAGGTATTTGGCATCATAGTTAGCTCTCTATCATCTGCAAGTAAGTGTCCATGTAGAGCAGTGCTTAGAACCACGTCTTTTTGCAGTGGACTTCCAAATGCCATCTGACCATGGAACAGTAATTGCCCCTACTTTCCAAGAGAAGGAAAAGAAAGCAAAGTGACTTGTCTCACAGTGGACATCCAAAACTAGCATTAAAAAAAAGTTGTTGAAAGGGAGATATATCTTGCCAAAAGGCCAAGTATTTGCATACTTTTTCCTGTAAGTCTGGTTTCATAGAAAACAAAGTGCTGCTTAATTCTCTCTTTTCTCCAGTACTTTCATATATTTCAGGGAAATGCACTGGTGATTAAAAAAGAGGATCATGTAAATCAGTGTAAAATTCCCTGGCCAGTTGTTACCTTACATGATGATAAATTCTGTGAAATGATGACTCATTTAAGTGAGATGGACTATATATATGCATTCATGAAACTTCTGCTTGCTAGTTCCTGATTTTCTCCTGTGCATCAAAGACAGGTTTGGAAAGGCATGAGGGGAACAAACAGAACACTGTTATATCCTGAGGTTTGTTTTTTAAGAATTTATAGAGAAATTGGCTTGAGAAAAGTCCAAGAGCTGTTTAGGTCCGTCTTGCTAAATATAAAACTTGCTTCACATAATCTTATTATCTGTGAGCTTTTCTTTGTTTGAAATAATTGGAATAGCTGAGGCAAACACATCAGCCTTTGGAGAAGCTGTAGCGTAGCCAGTGCACGGGTACTGGCAGAGTTGCTCACTCTTCAGATTTTGTTTGCCTGAAGGAATATCTCGTCTGATCTTGCTTTAGTCACAAGTAGCACAGTGTATTTTTTTAGTGATTCATTACAATATGTATCTTACTGCCTCAGACTAGTTTTCAAAATGTGGCACTAAAGAGTTCAAAGATAGTCAAGCAATCATTACTAGTCCTGGGAATATTCTCTCTACTACTAAACTATCTTCAGGGAATCCATGCAGGGAATACCAGCAGTCTTTTTCAGCCTGCAAACAAAACCAAACTGCTCAGTGCCTATAACTGTCTTTTTGTTTTTCTTTTTTTTTTTCTCCCCATTTTTTTTCTATTCCCTGAACACCACCTCATTGTAATTTTTCAGACTCAGTGATATTTATGGCAAATTATACAACCTGGAGAATGACATAATAATGACTGTGATACAAAGCCACATGCTCATAGAATCATAGAAACATCAAGGTTGGAAAGGACCTTAACGTCATCAAGTCCAACCTACAGCCCTACATCGCCCTAACACTAAACCATCTCCTGAAGTGCCACGTCCAACCATTTTTTAAACACGTCTAGGGGTGGTCACTCACCAGCTCCCTCAGCAACCCATTCTAATGCTTCACCACCTTTTTGTTGAAGAAGTTTTCCTAATATCCAATCTAAACTTCCCCTGGCGAAACTTGAACCCGTTCCCGCTTGTCCTATCGCTATTCACAGGGGAGAAGAGGCCAACACCTATCTCACTACAGCTGCCTTTCAGGTAGTTGTAGAGAGTGATAAGGTGTCCCCTCAGCCTCCTCTTCTCCAGCCTGAACAGCCCCAGCTCCCTAAGTCTCTCTTCATATCACTTACTCTCTAGTCCCCTAATCATTCTGGTTGCCCTTCTCTCTACCTTCTTCAGCACCTTCATGTCCTTCCTGTACTGCAGGGCCCAGAACCACACACAGCACTCGAGGTGCAGCCTCACCAGTGCCGAGTACAGGGGCACAATCACTTCCCTGGTCCTACCGGCCACACTATTCCTAATGCAAGCCAGGATGCCGTTGGCTTTCTTGGCCGCCTGGGCACATTGCTGGCTCGTGTTCCGCTGGCTGTCCATCAACACCCCCGGGGCCCTCTAAAAAAAAAGCCTGTAGCACTGCTGGGGGTTGTTGTGGCCAAGGTGCAGGACCCGGCATTTGGCCTCATTTAATTTCATGCAATTGGCCTTGGCCCAGCGATCCAGCCTGTCCAAATCTCTCTGAAGAGCCTCTCTACCTTCCAGCAGATCGACGCTTCCTCCCCGTTTTGTGTCATCTGTGTCAACTTACTAAGGGTGCGCTCCATCCCCTCATCCAGGTCATTGATAAAGATGTTAAACAGGAGTGGCCCCAGCACTGAGCCCTGCGGGACACCGCTTGTGACCGGCCGCCTGCTGGGTTTAATTCCATTAACCACAACTCTTTAGACCTGACTGTCCAACCAGTTCCTAATCCAGACAAGAATACGCCCATCCAGGCCATGGGCAGCCAGCTTTTCTAGGAGAATGCTGTGGGAAACTGTGTCAAATGCCTTGATAAGTCAAGGTAGACAACATCCACAGCCTTTCCCTCATCCAATAAGCAGAATAAGCAGGTCACCCTGTCATAGAAGGAGATCAGATTAGGCAAACAGAATCTGCCCTTCATGAAGCCGCACTTAGATGAACAGCAGTAGCATACGAGAATGTATTAAGATTTAGCTCCTGTAGTAAGATCTAGGTCTAGGGGCACCAGGTCAACATCCTCAGTGCGCAGCTACATAATCTTGTGAATGCTTAACAGGTCTCAGTTTGGTTTTGGTGTGGTTTGGTGAATATGCCTTTTCAGTGTGTTTCTCTGTATGTTTTTGTGGGTTTGCATATGGCTTGCATATGAGTGTTCTCTGTGATTTTTGATGCTTGTTCACATGAATCTGTGTGTAAAATGTGCTTATGTGTGTATTTCATGTTTTCACATGATACGTGTAGCCTAATCTAAAAGTTACAGACCTAAACATCACTGTAGACAAACTTACCTAAAGCATGGCTAAATGACATGGCTCATGTCAGTGCTTATAGATTGTCTCAAACAAGATGTTAAATTGCATGAAATCAGGGAGAGAAGACATTGTATAAATCCATTACTCTCCTTTGCAGTTTTTGTTCATAGTTTTCCTATCTGTACCAAAATATTTGACTAGAAACAAGCAATTTGGCAATATGTGATACAGAACTGGAAGAACTTTTAAAAATAGAGAGGTTAGGTGGATTAAGGTTATATAAGTAGAGAAAAAAATAAAAGTCTATATATAAGTAGTACATTTGAAAAAAGTACAACCTATTCAAGAAATAGTTTTCATTAAATGTTATTAGTCTATAGAACTCATTGCTATATGGCATCAGTGAGCTTAAAAGACATTGTGTCTTCAAGATTTCATAATTTCAAGAGAGAAAATAATACTCAAAAACCCTTCTAAGGCACAGAAACTCGCCTTGCATTACGGCAGAAGCCAACCACTAATTGACAGGACATTAGACACAATCTCCTGTAAATCTGCCTTTCTTGTGGTTTGGATCTGGATTTCTTGTCAGTTTTATCTTATGAATCAACTCTGGCTGAGACTGAATCCTGCTCAGCAGACCACTGGTGCAATGTGGAGCAATTCCTGTCTTCCTCTTGGGTTGTAAGCTTACCTTCCACTGTGTGCACAGGGAGGACACCAAGCCAGAAGATGACGAGGATAGCTGCAGCGTGGAGTTTCATTGCTGGTGGCTTCTTTGTCAAAGCAGGGAAGAAAGTGGCTATTGTCAGCTCTGTTCTGCAGAGTTTATATATTGTCATTCAGTGGTCACTTCTTGTGTTCACCTTTGGGGCGTCATGGGGGGGCTGACTGTAAGTGGAAAAAATTGAGTGGCTGTACTTTTTCTGGTGGCAGAGAACCACCTCCTTTCCCCTACTCGTCCTTCACTAGCCCCCCTGTGAAGGTTTTTCCTGCTCAAACCCTGCTGTGGTTGCACTTGCCTCTGTGTTGCAAGTAGGGTTTATTTCAAGCTGTAAAAAGGGAGAGCTTTTGCTCTGTAGCGGAAATCTTTAAAAAATGTGCCTGTCCTTTCACACCTTGAATTAAAGTGCAGTAGATAAACCTCACCACAAAGGCAAAGAGTAGCATTTAGAGCTACCTCTCTGACCAATGGACCACTTAAAGGGGAACTGTGAGCTAGAGGACAATGGAAACAGGAACGCTTTGGCTTTTCCATAGTGACTGTAGGTAGTTGGTCACTTCAACACGTAACTTTGGAGGGGTATCACTGCTATTTCCTATATGTGGGGGAGAGTCAAAACTGTTCTGTTTTCTCCATGATTTGATATGGTCAAAGCTGATATCACTATGTGCTGGCAGAATGAAGAACGAACACATTTTAACATACTGAGCCAGATCCTGCCAGTCACACATAATTAAAACACAATGATTTCAAAGAGCAATAAGAATTTATAGACAGTTGTGTGGTGTGGGGTTTTCTTTTTGTTTTTTTTCTGTGGTGTGGTCTTTTTAGTATAAAGAATACAGCCCAAGAAAGTAACCAGGCAATCAGAGAGGCACAATTTATAGAAAAGAAGAAAATATTTATTGCACTTTCCTGTAAATGTGGTGTTGACACCTCTATCAAAAGTACTTTTTTCTATGGTCTGTGCTGGTCTTGCTACCCAGTTTCAGGTATCCTTTCTATGTGGTAGTAAGGTAGTCTGAGTTACTGGACAGCATTGCCCCATGCTTTTGTGCCTGCAAATATTTTTCGAGCAAGCTGCGGACCTCCAGGCTGCAACATGGAGCAGCACCTGAGCTGACATTGTCATCCAGAGACTCTGAGCAACTCTCATGGTTTACACTTTGAAACACTTCTGTGCATAGCAGAAAAAGCCATGCTTTGCTGGGCCCACAGAGACCCAGTGGAGCCTGGAGTAAACAGTAAGCACCAGGCTGCCTGGTGCATGAGGTAGCAAGGCAGTGGCGTAGTGTAGCTGTCACAGCAAAGCTTGGAGCAAGTGTCCATTTGTACAAGTTTGAAGTTTCCCCTGCTCTTACCTCCAGGCCTCATCTCAGCTGGTTACTTCCAGTTTTCCACATTCTTGGTAACATCAATGCAAATAGCTTTGCATGGGGAAATGCAGTATGTGGAAGTCAGTTCCCTAAGATTCCTCAGACAGATAAAGATCAAGCTAAGAAATGAGCTCAAATAGTTGATTACTAGGCTGTAATGGCTGGTCTGTAACCTCAGGAACAGTCTGTAGGTCTTGCAGGTACAGAACATGCTGCTTGGTTTACTTGCATACACAAGAAAATTCTTTGTTCCTTTTGGTTTGATTCCTTCATCTTACATATACCATGCAACCCAGGGAAAAGCAATGGCAAAAGTAGACAGAAAACAGGTGTTAGGTACTTTCTGCTTTGCTTGAATGTCTTTTAAACCCACTTGCAACTGTAAGGAAGCAAAATGGAAGCTGAAGCTTCAAACAAAGACCCTGAAGGACATGCCTGGTGCCACAGAGAGGAGTAACTGTATTGACCTTAGTGGCACTATTGGGAAATCACAGAATCACAGAATCTTAGAGGTTGGAAGGGACTTCAAAAATCATCTAGTCCAACTCCCCTGCCAGAGCAGGATCACCTACAGTAGGTCACACAGGAACGTGTCCAGGCGGGTTTTGAATGTCTCCAGAGAAGGAGATTCCACAACCTCCCCGGGCAGCCTGTGCCAGTGCTCTGTCACCCTCACAATGAAAAAGTTTTTCCCAACAATTTTGTGGAACCTCCTATGCTCCAGCTTGCATCTATTTGCCCTTGACCTATCATTGGACATCACTGAGAAGAGCCTGCTCTGTCCTCCTGACACTCACTCTTTACAGATTTATGAACATTAATGAGGTTACCCTTCAGTCTTCTCCAAGCTGAAGAGACCCAGCTCCTTCAGCCTTTCCTCGTAAGGGAGATGTTCCACTCCCTTCAGCATCTTTGTGGCTCTGTGCTGGACTCTCTCAAGCAGTTCCCTGTCTCTCTTGAGCTGAGGGGCCCAGAACTGGACACAATATTCCAGATGTGGCCTCCCCAGGGCAGAGCAGAGGGGCAGGAGGACCTCTCTCGACCTACTAGCTACTCCCCATCTAATACACCCCAGGAGGCCATCATCCTTCTTGGCCAGGAGAGCACATTGCTGGCTCATGATCATCCTGCTATGTTAAGTTTGTGTCCAAGCAGTGTAGCAACCTGGTATTTTGCCAAATACTGCCTGAAATGACTCCTTTAGTGAGGTGTTCTCACTTTTCGGTACTTGTGTGCTTTGAGATACAAGATAGTAACTTCCTTATTGATGGTAGAGAGTTTTCTCCCCATTAAGAGAGGAGATGCTCCCCCACTTCTGCTCAGCAAGTTCGCTGATGATAGGAAACTGGAGAGGGTGGCTGACACACAGGCAGGCTGTGCTGCCATCCAACGAGATCTGGACAGGCTGGAGAGCTGGGCAAAGGTGAACCTCATGAATTTCAATAAGGACAAACGTAGAGTCCTGCATCTGGGGAGGAATAACACCAGGCACCAGTTCAGATTAGGAGATGTCCTGCTGGAAAGCAGCCCCATGGAGAAAGACCTTGGAGTCCTAGTGGACAGTAAGTTGTCCATGGGACAGCAACGTGTCCTTGTGGCCAAGAAGGCCAATGACATCCTGGGGTGCATTAGAAGGGGAGTAGCTAGTAGGTCTAGAGAGGTTCTCCTCCCCCTCTACTCTGCCCTGGTGAGACCACACCTGGAATACTGTGTCCAGTTTTGGGCTCCTCAATTCAAGAGGGACAGAGACCTACTGGAGAGAGTCCAGTGGAGAGCTATGAGTGTTGCCATTTGCTGCTTTCAGCAACATGAAGATAAGTAAGGGACTTGAACATTTCTCCTATGAGGATTGACTGAGAGAACTGGGGCTGTTTGGTCTTGAGAAGGCTGAGAGGGGATCTTGTTAATGTGTATCTTGTTAATGCGTATCTTGTTAATGCATATTGGCAAGGGGGTTGGACTAGATGATTTTTGAAGTCCCTTCCAACCTCTAATGTTCTATGATTCTATGATATGTACATGCACATATTTGCTCACTCTCTACAGCTTTGAGAGGAAGGGCCACCACCTATACTGAGCATCAGCCAGCTCAGAAAAAGTCAGTTGTTCCCACAGAGGCTTCTGAAGGTTGTAGATTCATCCCTGAGATGTTATTATAAAGCCTGTTGCTTCTTCAGCATTCCGCTATTTTTAAGGTGGGATGGAAATACTGCCCTGTGGCAAGTTTTTTCCCCACTTCTATTTCTCATTGGCTGTGTCCTCCCGGTTTGTTGTTCTGTGTAGCTGGCTTACATCCAGTGAAGTCTGTGTTTTGGAGAAGAGTTTTGTGGACTGGAGTCCCACAGCCCTTTTTGTGGGTATTTGGTGATCTCTGATGTTCTAATTCTGTACTCTACTGCCAGAGTACACTGCCTTCATTCTGTGGCAAAAGCTTTGTGCAAGATGATCAGTTGTATAGTCTTTCTGTTTTCTTGCTGGTAAGTCATATTAAAAAGACAGCTGATAAGTGCCCAGAGTACTTTTGCTATTATTGCTTCTCAGCTCTGGATAAGCTGAAAGCTAATGATACTTATCCTGGGGCTTGACTGGCTCTTGTATGGCTCACTCATCCCAGGCTGCTTTCAAAGCATGATAATTTGCAGCTTGTGATACATCCACAGACGAAATGGATGGTATGATAGTCCAAGTTCTTCGACTAACTTTACCATGATGCTTCCCAAACCCTTGGCTACAGGTGTGATGTGTGTACCACAAGAGCTGCCCCTTCTCCTCCCCTTCCACATCTCATGTTTAACACATGCCCTCTTTGCTGAGAGAAAACAGGTGCAGGCAGTGGATACTGCAGGTGTGGATGTGTAGGCGTATCAGTATTTAACCACTGTAACTTGCTCACGTGCACAAAGCTATGGGCCTCTAGTCAATCTCCTAGGCTTCCTACGTGACGTGTGGAGAGGCTGGGACACCCAGTCCTGGGAGAGGCCAGCCATAGCAACCTCCTGCTTCAGGAGTTCCAGGCTCTCCGAAGCCCTTCAGCCCCTTTTCATGCAGAACAGACTGACTCCATTTTGCCAGCCCAGCAGCTCGGGCACAGAGAGCTGACAGGACACGTGAAACTGCTCATGCACAGTGGGAGGCAGATCAAGGCCTGCTGCAGCCCATCTCCTGCCCAACTGCTGGATGCAAGAATTTTCTTAATTTTTAAGAAGGTCAAGAAATTTTTACAGACGTAATTGTTGGCTATAGCCTGTTTCATGCCAGCAGCCCCGCTGCAGGAAAAGAAATAAGCAGTAAGCGGAGTGTTGGGCTAGTTTCAGAGTTTATTTACCAGGGCAAAGAGTCTAAAGTATTGCATCTTCCCATACTGTAGTTTTCTTTCAAAAAAAGAGAGACTAGGATTTTCAAAAATCAGTAAATTCTTATGCACTTCTAGAAATGTGGTTCTTTAATGAATTTTCAGCAGCCCCTCAAAGAAGTGCCAGCAGGTCACTATCACTTTTGAAGACTAGATCAGGGCATTCAGTTATTTTAAGAGGGGACCTAAGAACCTCATGTTAGTCGTATCTGTATCTCAGACTACTGATGTCACCTTCAGGAGATACATGTCTGTCTCTATTATCTGCAAAAAGCAATATATGCATGTATCTTATGCCAGATGCAGTAAGTG